GGGAGCTGCATAGTTTGGGGCTGTCCTGCTTCATAATGCCTCAGGCCTGGATGGCTTGCAGTCACTGATGGAAGAAGGATTTGAAAATTATATTAGGAAAGTTTTGATGAACTGAAAGTGCTTTGTAGGAGATAATGATCCACAATTTCTCTTATAAGCAGATACAGGAGAGTCATGCTGCTAAATAAACTTTGCTACATTTTAGCAGTTTGCATTATATATCTGTGGGACAGTGGTGTGGAAAGCCTCCAGCAAAAGTCCTGGGCTCAGATCCACTGGCCGGTGCATTTCTGAGTGGCTTTTTCAAAGCCACACATTGGCTTTGAAATGTTTAACTGGCAATTGTAAACTGGATGTAGGTGTAAATGTCTATGTGTTAGCCCTGTGATAGTCTGGTGACCACACCTTTTGCCTTATGACAGCTTGGATAGACTCCAGCCCTCGCACAACACTGATTTGACTGAGCGGAAGAGGATGGGTGAATGATGAAAAAAAGAGAGAAATATTTTTTATACGCTTTGTTTAACTGAGATAGTGGGTAAGAAAATGTTAGTTTAGTGACCTCTGTGAGAGAGGAAGGTCATAAACCCCACTGTGACCACTCTGTGATGCTTTAGGAGGTGTAAATCCTTCACAGGCACAACTCTGCAGTTGATGCCTCAGGTTCTTTGACTATAGATATAATGACGCTCGAGCTCTATATCATTAACATCTGTTTGCCATTAGGGAAAGACAAGTGGGCGCATATTGGTGACCAGAAGCAATTTAAGTATTGGCAAGATCATTGTTACCTTGCCCCACAACACACAATCATTTTGGCATGCTGGAATAATACCAGTATGGGTTTCATAGACACACACGTGCAATTACACGCAATTCTACTGCCCTGCGTCACAGAGTCATGCAATCGGTATTTTTTGTGAATTGACAAACTATGCGCAGGGCCTCACTGAATTGCAGTATATACACAAAATACTCATTAAAAACAGCTTCTGCTTGTCATGTACAGAGCTGGTAACTTACACACAAAAACATACATATAAAATCAGTCACTCAATCATCAATAAACCATTTAGAATCCCGTTATTAGTTTTATGTTTTAAGTCGGTGAAACTAGCAGTTGTTTCCTGGTCTTAATATTGAATCTTTTCAGACGGTGTTGTTAATGATCACAAAGTCAGAGCTTGATCAGATCAACTCTTTATGAGCTTTGTGCTGCTATTTGTTTATTAGATAAGATAATTGTATTTTTTTTATGATGGCTTTTATATTGTTTACTTGTGTCGCCACTGCTCCTGCGTTGGAATTTGGCTGCATTCATGTATTGTCACTTCTGGTTTTATGAAGCATCCGTCTCTGGGGACAACAACAGATGGATGTCATGATAACAACCATTGTTCATGATCACCCTGCTGACAGGTCCACACACTCACGGATTGGCTTTGCATTGCTGGGTTGTCACTAACACAACCTCGACAGCATGCAAAATTAACTTCGAACATGCACCCAAACACACGCAGATGCACACACACATATCTGTGTACAGAGGGAAAAGTCATACATGTAATGCAGAGCGTTTGGAAAACTTGATAACATTAAAGATGTCATGGGATCATTTTTAGGTGAGGCCAGAATGACTATTTGGACAGATGTCACATTTAAACAAACTAAAGTGTGATGTTTGGTTTGTTTAAATCAGACTCTGGTTCGTTTCCCTTTGGTGTGGTTTGCTTGTAAAAATATGAACATGATAATTGCACTCGGGTGCAGACCGATATATCTGCACTGGAGGAAGTGGTCTAGGTCCGGTTCACAAACAAACTCCAGAGCAGTTTGTCACGGACCGGTTTAATGTCAGACTATATTTTCGTGGACCGGCCTTTAAGGTGTTGCGGATAAATACAACAAAATGAAATGAAACGACCAAGACAAAAATTATGATTTTTTCTTCTTTTTTTGGTAAATATAATAATAAACACGAATTCAGTGTGTAATTGTGTGACTTTATTAGCAGCGTCCTTCTGATATGCACCAACAACACTGAGAGTAACATCCTCCTCTCTGTCCCTTATTCTCTCTGGTCACGATGGTAAAGTGTAAATATTTCTTTCAAAATAAGACGCACAACTACAACACAGGGAAACAGAGTTAACGATAAAAACTTAGAAAACCAGAAATTTCACACCCGAGCCTCAACTCTCGCGGCCCAGTACCAAACGACTCGCTGACCAGTCCGGGGTTGGGGACCGCTGATGTAAATGATATTATGTGTTTACAGATCATCTGCGGTCTATTTGAGTTTTAGTCTACACATCTTTACCTCTAGACTATAAACTAATGCATGTGGTTAGACTTTTACTGCTATAGCTAAGAGTGTAGTTCTTATTCTAGGACCCACAGACAGAGCAGTTGTGGGATAATGAGAGCATTCAGCTTTCTTTAGCAGCTTTCCACAATAGTCGGGAGGTTTAAAGGAATTTTGTAGCTCCTATCTTAAAGGTTAGGAACAGGTAAGTTGACTTGAGAATATTACAAAGCTGTAGGATTTCAAATAATGAGCTGAGGTTTCCACCTCTTCCCGATCTGGTGCGACACTGGGAATGTATCTCTTTTTTCATGAGTTTTTATCTTTTAACAGCTTTTTTTAGGCTCACATTATCTCTTTTTGTCTTCTGTTTGTCTGTTTTTATGTTGATCTTTGAATCCCTTGTATTCATGCCGTTGTCCATATGAGTGTACAGCTTTTGTTTTTTGTGTTAGTCAGTATGTGCCTTCGAGTTGGCACGTTGTTGTTGTTGTTTGTTGTGTTGGTGCGTTGTGTGTATGTGTGCTGCTCCTGAAAAGAACCAAATTCTGCTGAGTATTCATTGGGGCTTGATAAATCCTTACCTGGAGTTAAAGCTGTCTTAGTCGCACTCTCTCACACAAGCACACCATGGAGCATCAATGAATACAGAGTGATGGTAAAAGTTATGAAGGGATGATAAGAAGGGGGAGAAAGGTGTTGAGGAACAATGATGAGATCGCTGCTCAGAGCCGAGGTGCTCAAGGCAAAAGGAGAGAGTGCAAGAAATTATCAAGAGACATACTTATGTGGGGGAGAGTGGGCAAGAGAGCGAAGAATGAATGATTAGAATGAGTTTTCCCCCTCTGGAAAAACAGAACAGGAGGAGGGGCATTGAGGGGTCTGTGGAAAGGCAAAGAAAATGAGAGAAAAGAGGATTTGTGGATTCCAAAGAACCCTTTGGCAGAGGAATAGAGAGGGAATCAGATGAAAACAAGAATGTGAGGATGGCAGTGGGACGGGGCCAATGATTACAGGATTGTATGGATCAGAAGAGGCTTGAGTGAACAGACAATGAGTAAAAGATGGGTAACATATGGAAACAGAAGAAAGCGAATAGATGGGAGGAATGGAGAAAAGAGCTACAAGCTATGAGAGGAGCAGAGAACAACAGAAAAGGTCCAAACTGGCCAAAACACAACATTTCTCTTCATACACCACATCTTTTATTGTATTATTATTATTATTTTCTTAATTTGGCCTAATTTTTCTCTTATCTGTGGACTTTAGCAGAGGCTGGCATGCTTCTGAAACTTGACTACACCATGTTGTAAATATGCTTAGTAGAATGTTATGCTTGGTTAGTCAGCAGACATTTTTCCTCTACGTTGAAAGATCAAGCTGTCTTTGCTAGTCTGGAATTAGCCTGTTTGTCCAGCTGTGCAATAGCAGAACAACAGGTTTTCTGTTCAGCATGTACGGCTCATGCTTAAGGACATTCAACTTAACCCTGCACATTCTAACACTCAAAAAGACAGAGACACGAGGGGGGGAGAGCAGGAGGGAGAATAGCTATGAATGCATACTCCCTTTAGGTACAGTACCATATTCACATGCCCTTTCCCTTTAGCCATACATGGCCTAATCAGTGAGCTAATTAGCACTTTCTGTAGCTGCATCAGCCTCATGTAACTCATTGCATTAACAACTGCCACAGATCAAACCGTCACGTCTCACGCTTGTGCATCTCATTATACAGTAAGTACACGGAGGCCAGACTTTAACTAGAAATGAAATGAAGCATTTTCTGCCACAGATGGTGTACAGATAAATACATTCCAACTGTCCGTTCATTATTATTATGAATTCATTGTGGGCATACTTATAAGCCTTGGCTTTTTTCCATCCATTTGAAGTAATCCAGTTAATAGCAGTGGAGCTGTAATGTATGTCCATATCTGTATAATATCTCTATGATCATTATCAGAAATACAGAGGACAAGGAAATGCAAATAAGATGTATCACACGTCCAAAGAAATGTTTTACAAACAAAGCAAATAAAGAAGGACGAGAAAATTCAGACTGTGAATCAGAAATCTTTTGTTTCCATTGTTGAGTCGGACTAGTTCTGTATTTTTGTAGGTTTTTACCTTACAATATAAAGCACCTTGAGGCAACAGTTCTTGTGTTTTGGTGCTATATAAATAAACCTGAACTGAGTTGTCATTTTAAAGTTCTATTGTTAGTCTTATAGTAAGAGAGTAATCATGTCTTTTTAACTACGATGGAGCTACATTTAAATCAAAGTGGTTAATTAGCACTAAAGGTTTGAATGTGTTACTGCCACTGTTTCAGGAAAGCTAGCCACAGTCACGATGAGTGGTTAGCCTCTGCTGTTGTTGATCGGTTGATCTTGAAAAGAGTCACTTTTAGATGTTTATTAATAATCGTACCTGAATTAGGTGACAGACGTATGTAACAATGTTTACGATCAAAAACTGAAATCATCCAAGGTCACAAATCTTCCCGTGGGTTTGCACTTCCAAAAATATGATCACCCCCTCATCCAGCTTCAAACTCGATACTGCGCCTCTTTAAGTCTCCATCCAGATTGTCATTAAAAAACATAACGTCATTTATTAGCGAGGTTATTTGTTTTGTGTTAATTATGTAAGTGATTCTTAAGCATTTCTTTTTTTTTTTCTCTCTCTGCAGAAGAAGCAAAGAACTAAAGAGCTGTCGCAGGTCTTCCACTCTTACAACCCTTATGACCATAAGGTAAGATCTTTCACTGTTTGTCCCTCAATAACTTTCCTCGCCAGCATTTCTTTTTCAACACTGTATATTGCTTTATTTGCTCATTTAATGTATCTGAACGAGCCGAGCTTTGAGCTTTCAGTGTCATTCGCCTCTAGACCACAAGGTTAGTTGTTGTAGGTCACCATCGCTGCCTTGTATTCAAGGCTGTGATGAATTTGTTGTCTCTCCAAGATCTATGGCTCTTGTTAGAAATCTAGTGAATGAGGACGGCTCAAGTGTTTGTTCCTGATTGCATTGTGAGAGCGAGCGTGTTTGAGAGAGTGAAGTCTGATATAAAGCTAATCATCTCTGTCCATGTGTGGATCCTCCTGTATTTATCTCTGTCTGGGTTCATACGAAGTGCCATCAAACAGTCATGAACTGCACTTATAAGAAGAAAAAGCCTTACGTGTTATAAAATTCTCTTGGATACTTGAGGACATTCGACTAGAAGTCATTGTTGACGGGCTATTGCTGGGGGACAAATTCACAATGTGCTACTAGATGAGTGTCGGCAAGAGTTGAGGCTTTTTTTCCACTCTTAAAACTGTTGTTTGTTGTCTGAGCCACAGCTGTACAGCCAATAGTTGTCACACAACATCACAGAAACTCTTACTACACTTACTGCTCTGTGTCATGTGACCTTGGCTTTGTGCTGTTAGCACGGAAAAGAAAATCAAATGTTATCAGATTGACATTTCACAGCAGACCAAAAATGACACTATTCAGGCACGTTTATGATGATGAAACCTTTGGGATGATAACTTTTATGCGTTGCATTCATATTTATATGTATATATATATAAAGCCATGTTCTGAAAGGGTCAAACCCATGAACTCTAATAACCATCTCCCATCATGAACGAGATCAGTTATATCCAGCTATGTAGCAACACTTTAGCTTAGCTTTTTATTTGTAACAAAGTATTTTTTTTATGTGTTAAGCAGTAATTTTAAAGATTTGGGAGAGTTTTTACTGGTGTAGACACACACCTTTGCAGATGCACACAACCTCAGAGAGACATTCAGAAAAATTAGTAGAAAAGAGAATTTTTAGCAAAAGGAGAAGAAGCAAAAGGAGAAGAAGAGAATGCCATTAAAATTTATAAACGTGTTTTTATCTCAATCAGACATGGTTCATACGCATGCTCTATCTTTAAGTATGATTCTCACGGTGATTGAGAAACCAGATGTGTGACAGTATGCCACTCAGAACTGGGCGTGGTAAGCTGCGGCATCTTGTAAATATCTTTTTACTTTTTTCATTTTCATGTTTTCCTTCTGTTTGTTGAACATGCTGATAAAGTTTAGCTTTATTGAAGAAGTTAAATTCTTACTACTGCAGAAAGCCTCATTAAACCCTGGTCCACTTTGGGATTAATCTTTGAATTTAATAACAGGAAATTTAATAACAGGACGCTACACATAAAGAATATCTGTTTCTGAAATTGCCTTTGAAATAAAACTCATATCGTAAAGCTTATGGCTATTTTCTTTTCAGCTCCACATGCTGTCATCTTTTATGGAAATTCAAAGTATACATGGATGCTTATTTATGAACGAATGAATTAAGGATTAATTAAGCTGTTGAGATAATACAGTACATTTTACACATTTTTTATTTTTATTTTGCACATTACATTGTGTTTGTTTATACTGTAGAGCACATTTGTAGCACTTTGTAGTGATCTAGAGTGGGATCATGTGTAGTCTATTTGTACACATTTATACATCCACGGAAATCTTAAAGTTCAACTTAACGATTTATTGGTCAAAAATTGGCAAAAAGCCTTAAAACTATGATTCTTACAAGTGTGCTGCGTATTGTCAACGTACAGAAGGTACTGTATAAGTATTTAAAATGTCATGCCACATTTGACCTATGACGTCTCCTTCAAAGATGAATAGCCTGACCTGAAGGTTCAATTCAATTTTATTTATATAGCGCCAAATCACAACAACAGTCGCCTCAAGGCGCTTTTTATTGTAAGGTAGACCCTGCAATGATACATACAGAGAACCCCAACAATCATATGACCCCCTATGAGCAAGCACTTTGTGATAGTGGGAAGGAAAAACTCCCTTTTAACAGGAAGAAACCTCTGGCAGAACCAGGCTCAGGGAGGGGCGGGGCCATCTGCTGCGACCGGTTGATTCAATGCAGAGAGGTCTATTAACTCATAGTGAGTGCGAAAGGTGACTGAAGAAGAAATACTCAATGCATCATGGGAATCCCCCAGCAGCCTATGCCTATTGCAGCATAACTAAGGGAGGATTCAGGGTCACCTGATCCAGGTCTAACTATATGCTTTAGCAAAAAGGAAAGTTTGAAGCCTAATCTTAAAAGTAGAGATAGTGTCTGTCTCCTGAATCCAAATTGGAAGCTGGTTCCACAGAAGAGGGGCCTGAAAACTGAAGGCTCGTCTCCAATTCTACCTTTAAATACTCTAACAAGGAACAACAAGTAGGCCTGCAGTGTGAGAGTGAAGTGCTCTAATGGGGTGATATGGTACTACAAGGTCATTAAGATATGATTGGGCCTGATTATTTATTATTAACGTTAAAGTGATAGTAATGATATTTAGAGCATTGCTTGTATTGACAACATATAACCATACAGGGAAGGATATATGGAGATATTATTACAGTAATCATCATTTAAATTCATTACAGTTTGAAGTACAGTGTACCTGAATAAGTATAATCATTTTTGGAAAAGAGAAATTAAGATTAAATGAATGCTCACACGTACTTTAGCCAAATATAAATAAAAAATAATTGTACTCAAAATTTTCTCAGGTACGTTAAAAATGGTTTTGATGGGGGAAATGTGTAAAAGGCTGCACTTTAAGCTTGTTTTCACTGCACCGCAAACGTCTTATTCCCTTAACAGTAAAGGTGAAGGTTTTCCTTTAGATTGACAAAAAATATTCCAGCTTGTAGAGTGTTTTTAACACTCTACAAATCAGCTCATGGTATATAAATGTTACCGTTGGTCTTGTTCCTTTTCTAAGATTGTGGAGATGTGTGAATAGATCCCTTTAGATTAAATGTCTGGATGGCCGTGAGATGTGATTTAATGATAGCAAATGTAATGTCAAGCATGCATTCTCCCACAGCAGGCAGAGGTTTTCCTGTCCTTGCCCGTGTTCGTATACTGTGTAAATGTTGAAGCAAATCAGCGTGTATTAAGCCCATATAGCCCTTAGACAAAAATAAATGAAGGCTGATAATGTCCCTCATTTTCCATGATTTCCTTGGGCGTCTGCTAGCTCAGCTTATGGTTTATTTAAGGATATCATGTGTTTACTAACACATCCTATGTCTGTGCGTCTCTGTGCGTGTTTGTGCGCGAGGCTGAGGGAGAGATAACGAGCGAGTCAGCGTTTAGATTCAGAGAGAGGGGGGAAATAGTCGTTTCTGAAGCCATTATTGTTTTTTTGCATCTGCCTGTTGTGATGAAAAGGTCATTAATAAAGACTGAGTTGGGGAGAGGATTGTGAGTTAGTCGAGGCTTTATTGTAGCTTCAGGGTACCAACCCGATGAAACAATGT